TCTCGCTGGCATCTATCTATCTATGTATCTATCTATCTATCTATCTATCTATCTAAATATCTATCTCATCTTGAGGTCCTTGCGTCCTCTCCGCATTGGCGGGGTCCTGGGGTCCTCGTTTGATACTGGGCCTTCTTTTCATCTTGAGGTCCTTGCGTCCTCTCCGCATTAGCGGGGTCCTGGGGTCCTCCTCCCTGGCTGTTTCATACTTTTTTTTTTCTCATCTTGAGGTCCTTGCGTCCTCTCCGCATTAGCGGGGTCCTGGGGTCCTCCTCCCTGGCTGTTTGATACTGGCCCTTCTTTTCATCTATCTATCTATCTATTTATCTATCTATCTATTCATTGTTTCGAAACTGTCTCCTGCTCTGGCTGGTTCCGTGAAAGTCTGAAACCTTGCACCCGGTCTCTCTGTCGAATCTTTGGGCGAAAAAAACAGTCGAGGAAACGAACGACCCACCGCACTCGGCCACCCCCCCCAACATAAAACACTTTTGGACCAACCTCTGGTCTGTCTGGCTGCCTGGGCAGGATGATTCTCCCCGGGCCCCAAATCCCAAAAACATGCCTCGCACTTGCTCTAATTATTTCTGGGGGCTATACTAAAGAGGGATCCCAGGGAGAATCATACTGCCTGGCGGAAAAGCTGGCCGACTGACTTCTGTCGACCACTCTAGCTGGCTGCCTGCCTGTACTAGAGCGTGGCTGGTCGCGACACTGTACTGGCTGAGCTACCACTGCCTGGCTGCGCTACCGCCTGCCTCTCTGCACTGGCTGCCTGCCTGTCTGCCTGCCTAACGCAAGCACAAAAGAAGCCACGAAAAAGGCGGTCCAGCCTGCCTCAGCGACTGCAGGAACTGGCTGAAGCGTTCCGCTCTGGCTGCCTCGCTGCTTTCTCCCTCGGCTTGCTGGCGGTGACGCTCTCTGTCTGCACTGACTGAGCAGTACTCGTCCTCGGGGACATCGGTTCTTGCTTTTGGACTTGGCTTTTTTCTTTTCTTTTCTTTTCTTTTCTTCTTTTCTGTTCTTTGCTTTTCTTTTCTTTCCTTTTTTTTCTTTGCTTTTCTTTTCTTTTCTGCTTTCTTTTCTTTTCGTTGCCTTTTCCTGTTCCTTTCTTTTCTTTTCTTTTTTTTGTGTTCTTTTCTTTTCTTTTCTTTTCTTGCTGTAATTTCTGTTCTTTTCTTGCAGGCCAGGCACGAGTCGCGACTCCAGACAAGACACTCGTTTGCCTGTCCACTGTGCCTCGTGCAGCAAGGCGTCCAGGACCTGCCTGTCTGCCACACAGAGCTGGACTACCGCTGGCTGCGCTGCCTGTGCTGCGACGTCTGCCTGTGCTCCCTCAGCTGCCATGGCTGCACTCTTTCACTTGTCTGTCTGCGCTGGGCTCTCGTGGCTGCCTGCCTCTCTGAACCAGGAGAGCCACAGCACTGTCTCACTGTCTGTCCAGCAACCAATCTCGCGCTCGCTCACTGTCGGTCCGAACGAAAAAGAAGCACTGTGCCTTATTCGGTTGACCCTTTCCGAAAAACTACCGGAGGGGGAAGACCTTCGATTTGACCCTTTTTGGCTTTTTTGATGGTCGTTTTAACAAGGATTTTATATAATTAATTAGATTGGGAACCCAGGGATTTTCTTTCGAGACCCTACTTTTCATTGGGGCGAACAGAACATTGCCCATTTGGGGGTACAACAGGTGCCCCTCAATAATAAACACCCCCTATTAGTAAAAACACACCAGGGTTTTTATTAATAGGGGGGGGCCGTTTATTATTAGGGAGAGGGGATTACTGCACCTGCCACGAAATCTGCACTTCAAGGTCAACAAAGTACTGCACCTGCCACGAAATCTGCCCTTCAAGGTCAGCAAAGTACTGCACCTGCCACGAAATCTGCACTTCAAGGTCAGCAAAGTACTGCACCTGCCACGAAATCTGCACTTCCAGGTCTAAAGAGCACTGCACCTGCCACGAAATCTGCATTTCAATGTCAACAGAGTACTGCACCTGCCACGAAATCCGCACTTCAAGGTCAGCAAAGTACTGCATCTGCCACGAAATCTGCACTTCAAGGTCAGCAAAGTACTGCACCTGCCACGAAATCTGCAGTTCACGGTCAACAAACTAGTGCACATCCACTGAGCCTATTTTGAACCCCCCGATTTCAGGGACCCCCTATTAAAAAAAAATGGGCCCGGGTTTTTTTTAAAGGGGGGGGGGGGGGGGCCGTGTTTATTATTAGGGGGACGGGATTAATATATATAATGGTCATTGGGAGATTCATGGAGATTCGCGACCTCATATGTAGATAGGTTGTGAGACTTCTTTGTCGGTTCTAGTCAAGACTGTTTGGCTGGTTGGGCATCATGGATCAAGCTATCACTTTGAAGCCGAGTCCTGGTAGTTTGCCGATACAAGAGACCAGCAATTAAACATCATACTCCCGTTTGTCCTGGCCGGAGACCAATTTGTCCGACCTGGCTAGCCATCGGAAAACGGCCAAACTGCCAGAAGGACTGTGGCTTGATTCCGTTTGACAGATCGCCCGTGATGGCCCAGCCTTAAAATGTGTACCTGCGAGGCTGGCGGGCTTTCACTATGAGTACGCTCAACAGCTGGTGCAGTCCAAGCAGGAGGACACGGCCCGACGCCAATATGACGCCCGAATGAACGACGGTCGGCGGAAGGTTCGATGCCTGGGGGGTGAGGGTGAGGGTGGGCGCCCAGCCTGAGAACCTATATTGTTTATGTCTGTTGATATCCATCTATACTATAAGGGTAATGTAGTAACTTAAGTTTGCGAGGACTCTGAAAAAAAGAAAGGTCCCAGCGTTACAACGTTAGTTTATGTTACTGTAATGTAATTTAGGCCCCCCTACCGAGCTCGAAATTAAAATAAGTGGAGCTAAGTGTTCAAAAGTTAACCCTTTTTGTTGAGGGTGGGCATTTGAGAAGGTGAACAGATTTTTATTTGACATCAGAACGTTGGATTTTTGTTGGTTTAGATAAGTTGAGATGTGATGAGATGTGCTTCAAAAACCATCTAAGCAAAACAGTGATTCATCTGGACGTGACACACCGATGGAAATTATTATGCATTTGCGCGCTCAGACAGACATAATGAATACCAACAATCATTGAACACGAATACAACACCAATCGATACGGAATACAGACATTATGTTGATTAGGGTGAAAACATTCATTCAAAGGCTTGAAAGTGCAATAGTCTAAAAACCATTGCCAATTACTCGTGAATAATAACAACCTAGCTGATGTTTTCAAGCATGGATTTTTTAGTTGGGGCGTGGGTCAGTTGTCAACGTGTCCTCGATTTGTGGCTGCTTCCGGGCTTGCAGAATTCAAGCAGGGGTCAATAAAATGAAATTCCAATCATGTCAAGGGTACCCCAAATAATCAACCCCTTCCCAACCCCCCCCACGATTAATTTCTCATATCGACTCGATTGATGTTTCGATTTTATTGATTTGCAACCCTTGCAAGGGGTTAATTAATTCGCCTACCCAACCTCAATTAATAAGTGAATTGTGCAACTGGGGCCCGGGGTAGCGGCTATCGAAAAAAAGGATCACTAGACTAGAATGATTTGTTGTCCTCCAGGTAACCACGATAAGACCAGGACCTCCTGTTCCGAAACCGTGGTGAAAACCTTCCACCTCCGAGGACGGCATGATCCAGCAGCATGGTTTTCGGGCAGAGTTGGCATGGTCCCAAGTGGCTGCCGATGGGCCTCTTGGCCGGTGGGCACCGGTGTCCAAGACAGACTGAGTCGACTGACTCTCTTACACCAGTGGAATTAGAGGATTCTCTATCTGGTCATAGAGGTGATGCTGGTACTTAGAGGTCATAGAGGTCATAGAGTCTATCAGCTTCTGGTACTTCGCAGGTTCAGAGGAGATCCTTTTCTTCTCCCAAGCCAGCAGCCAGCAGCCAGCACTGCAGATCTAAGGCTCCTATTCTAAGCCGTCCTTTCTCTCCGGTTGCACCACGCGGAGAAGAACGTGTTCGGCGGGTTTTGGCATGCACTGGCAGCTTGCTGAAAATCGAAGACTGAATTGGTACACATGTGGGCTTGGTAAACAACACAAGCATTCCCGAACTCTTTATTGTGCCATGGCATCAGTAAAGTTAATGTTGAAGCTTGCAAAGCTTTCAGCCTTATGTTTGCGTGGAAGTCTATGCATAGAACCTCATGACAAAGCACCCTTTGACTGCAGACACAGAGGGTTGAGACTCAGACAAAACGGGTTGAAGCGTGGCGTGTTTGCGCGCTGAGCACTGAAGGACGGGCTTCCGCTGTGAAGAAATTGTTGATGTGCCGCAAGCTGTTTGAGAACATGTTCAAGGAGTGGCTGCTTCGCCAAGTTTACCTAGGAGTTCAAGGAGTGGCTGCTTCCCATCCGCGCGATACTGTTTCAGGTTTACCTCTATGGTGTTTTCCTATACATTCCATGGCCATGGATGGATCATCCATTGGTGCCATCGATGCCGCTGCTTCACTTCACTCGGGCTTCACTGAATCGATCCCTTCGCCCCGGCGCTGATCCTCCGCGACCGAGAACGACTGAGAGATGCTGGGTGCTCGATCAATGACTTGGAATGACTGGGACGGCTTGGAAGCAAAGCCCACATGGACTCCAACAATGATGGAGCCAGTTGGGCCATGTCGTGAGGACATCAGCAAGGTGGTGATCTCCGTGATCAAAGAGGTCATTCTGAACCGACTCTGAACCGCTCGCAAAAAAGATCTGAAAAAGACGCCATGGCGCTTCAGCCTGGTGTGGTGCTGCGAGGCTGCGAGGCCCTGCAGAAAAAGGGCATATAGGGTGCTGCACTGCACCACATGTAGATCTCCACAGTTTTTTTGACGCTTCGGCAGAGGAATTGATTAATGCTTTGGAAGAACCACCCTGTCATTGCATATGCCATATGCATTCACCTTCGCTGTTTCGGTTCCAAAGCCGCTTCTGGATACAGGAAGGGCTCCCTGATCCGATCAATCACGACGCTCCACGCCCCAAAGTGAGCATGATCGATTGGGGTAATTAGGCGTTGAACACTGATTGACAGATGCGCGGGTGGTTCATGGAACACATCGCTGCAATGCAGGATTTCTTTAAGCATTTCATAATCATATGCACACATAGATAGATATATTATTAAATGTAGATGTTATATAGCTTTGTAGAAAACAAATCAGGGCAAGAGCACTCCCTGCGCCTCCAGCGCTGTGACTTCGTCGATTTTGAGCCATGTCATCCCATAAGTGGAGGACCGAAACAACCTTCGCGGCTCTTGGGTTGGGACCCTGGGAGAGCTTCCCAAAATAGATACATGTGGACAACCTGCTCTTCGTTGGTGTGTCTCTTGAAATTTCAATCTATGTGACTCATTTGTGAATCACCTGCCGCGCTCTGTGCAGAGCAAGTGCGCTTTGGTGCTACTGAATAGGGCACTTGGCCAAAGGTTGGCCACAGTCTTTGGGACTCGGGGGTGAAAGGGGTCTTCTGCGTCCCAGGGGGGGACTCAGGGGTTTGACTCAGGGGTCCCCGGTTCATGCATGATTGATTTACCTTCTTGAGTTGCCGGTGACTCAGGGGTTCCACGACATCCGCCTCCGCAGCCTCCGCACACCTTGGACGCCTGACTCGAGACACCGAGACACGCTGAAATCGAACAAAACGACCCGAGATACCTGTCTATAGCTGGCAGCAGCGGTTAACTCGCGTGTTGGACCGAGTTGAGCTCCAGCCGTTTGAGGCTGTTAGTCTTAATGATGTTCTATGATGTTCTGGAGGGTTTTTGTGCTTTTAGACTTATTGTTACAGTCAATTGTGACATGATTTGTCAGGTGTACTATTATGTATTGATTTTGCCAGTGATTATTTCAGCACTTAGTTGGGCCCAAGAAGAGAACATAAGTGGCACATCAAGGCATACAATACATGATAAAGTGATTTGGATGCTACTTAAAGTGTCTCCTGTCTACCGAATAGTTTCATACAAAATAGACTTCGGATGCTGACCCACTTTAGACATACTAAAACACTTGCTTTACCCAGTCATGTGCCACCTTTTGGCATGCGCGATTTGTTGCCAGGATGGTAGAACAACGGCTGATCCGGGAGCGGCTCCAAGAAGCCCGCTGTGATGCGATCAATGGGATGCTGAAAGAGTGGGGAGCCCCGGGTCGTCGCGGCCGTCGGTTCGGGCTGCCCGGGCAATGCCAACGACGTCGATTCGTGCCATTTCGGGCGCACTCCTATGTCTAGTCTAGCTCGTTCTGTTCAGAAAAATACGTAGAAAGACGTGAATCATTTGCGGGTTGTAGAGGACATGGTCAAAAGTTCCCAAAAGGATGTTCTCTAGCAGTCTAGCACATACAACGCCTGGTTTGGGGTCCCACTGTGTTATCCATCGCGCCAACTTCACAATATGATATGGTTTCCCGAGGTGAATTTGCCTCACAACTGTTGCATTTTTGCTGGCCTGTTTCTACCTGGTTGATTTGCAACTCTGCTCAGTCAGAATGTTGCTTGTATTTGCGCGGCGCGAACTGCCCAAAAACTGTGATTGGAGGGAAGCCAATTTCTGCCTGCATGGTTCCCAGTGCTCGTGACGAGGCAGTGCCGCCAGGCGACGTACGCTGAATGCGACGTGCGAGTGGAGGCCCACCAGTGGATTGTGTGATGGTTCTTTGAGTGGCAGCAGTCCTATGCATGGTCTAGAATACCGTAAAGAAAAACCATTTATGCGTATACCTTTAAATGGAGCTCACAAGGTCCAGCAGATATGGCAGGTTCTAATAGTATCTATGATAGAATAACACGGTTATATACGGTTTCACATGTGCGAGCCCAAACACAGCACGAGCACCCAGGACTCCTAGGACAGGCGTGAGAAAGAAAAAACAGAACAATGGAGGGAGAGTAGAGGTGCGGGGTCTCCTGGCTGTTTCACTTGGCAGAACTGGAGGTTCCAGAACTGGTGGCGAATGCAGTTCCAAAGACCTGGCGAGCACAGGGATACTCTGCATGCAGCAGTTTCATTTATATATGAGGAACCTCTTTTATTTGCGGTAGTCATATAGCCCAATGTCAGATTTAGTTAGCGAAACGAGGTAGGAACACCCCGAGAACGAGATGGGCATCAATTGCGCCATTTGTTTGAAATGGTCTAGATAATGACATGTTTCGAGGTAGGAACACCTCTCGAGAACGAGATGGGTATCCATTGCACCAAATAGATACAGGAATGGAGAACGAGATTACACCCCAAAAACGATGCGAGATTGGAGAACGAGGTAAGGAAGGCCCATGTGATAACTTAACGGAAATATGTTCCATCGCTCATATATATATATATGAGGAGTGAGCCACCGGTGAGTAGGGTCAGAAATGCAAGAATGATTCCAATCAATTGCTGGGAGTTGGACAAGTCATTGGTGAACGCTTTAGACTTTTGAGTATAGGTTTTAGACATCACTCAGACATGTACGATACAGATCAGGAGACCACAACAGCGCACGGCTTGTGTTGGATGCAGTTTGTCCTTGTGTTTGGTTCCTTCTCCACTTCCTCACCTCGGTTGGGTGTTCATTAAACTCAAGTATAATAATCCACAATCAAACTACCCTTCCAGTACGAGAATGATAGGAAGAAAGGTGTCAGTGAACCCGGATTTCGCCCAGGCTTTTCAGGATCAGAATACCACTTGTTTGGTAGGTGATTTTGCGGCGATTAGCTTTCGGTACTGGGCCACGTACCATGGCTCAAGAGGGATATATTGTTTCTACTCAAAGCAGTAATCCTTCAAACAAAGAACAAAGCACATCATTTTGCTGCAACAAATTGCTAAAGAATGAACCAATCCTCGTTTTCAACCTCACCTGTGCCATGAGCCGAGTCCTGTCCGACTCGTGTCTGGCTGCGGGACTTGGCATCCTGCTGGCGCATTTGTTCACTTTCGCCGCCAATGGATTCCTGGAAGTTCCAGTAGTCCATGCTGCGTGGGGTTGGTCCATGCCCTCGCCCTCGCCCATGCCATCTCCGATGCCATCCCCACCACCGATGCCACCACCTTCGCCACCACCTTCGCCTCCTCCTTCGCCTCCCACTTGTGGAACCTGGGGTGATGGACTTAGTTTCTCAGGTGCCGAAAAGAAGGACCTCGAAGGAGGTTAAATCGACTGATCAACTGTCAGTCAGCTTGCGTTTGCTTTGCTTGCTTTGCATGGCTTTTTGAAGCCCTTCAATCGTGGCAAGAGGATGTTGACCAGAGCCCCTTTTGGGGGTCAGGGCAGCTGCTCCAGCCACAGCCAGGAGGTCTCCCTATTAAACTATACACACTCACATCGGTGTGTAGTTCATCTCATGGAGACATAGTATATTCTCAGCCGTAGGGTCGGTTGGATCCCTCATCGTCTTCATCAACTCAGGAAAGTTTCAATGCAAAGAACTTAGTTATGTGGCAGGGTTCATGTTCAGACCAGACCGCCTTAGCCCTAGACTCGACCGCCTTATGACCGTCTCCACGGACCTCACCAGACCGGCTTAGCCCAAACACGACCTGTCTGGGACTGCCAGGATGGACTGCCGAGAAACGGCCAGGGGTGGTTGAAACGGGGTCAATGAGGCGGCATCTATGGCAGTCCCATTAGTCGTGTTTGGGTAGTGATCCTTCTACCCTACGACAACGAATCGAAGCCTTCAAGACGTTCGCGTCTCTCACATCTCAAAACGGCAGTGTGTTCAGATTCGCCCAGGTTCATGGAGTGCTTGCTCGGTGTCCTGTGGCAGCGGTACACGCATGCGAACCCGCAGTGGCAGCTGCGCGCCCTTCTCCGAGTCTGAAAACTGCGATGCCGGAGCCTGCCCGACCTGCCACTTGTGCCAAAATACACATTGCACATCCCTAGGGCTCCAAGTAACTCCTCAGAAGGGATGACTGGACCCTCTAAACCAACCGCAAACACCTTCTCACAAGGTACTTGGAGCCCTACGGTATGTTTTGTTTTTAAGCCCTAAGCCCGTGGCACTGCCTCCTTACTTCATGATACAAGTAGGCGCCTACTTAATGAAGGGAGAAGCAAGCTACCAGCTACTTGAGCTACTACATATGGATGCAGGATAGCTCACGCTCGCACCAATGATTTGGTTCCTAGATGTTTGCGGACACTTAATAACCAAGGACCCTGAAAAATCACCGGTTGCCAAAACCACAGGATCTATGTTAGTTTTCGGGAGTGTGTATATATATATATATGGGGAGTGAGTGAAAGCAAAGTTGCTGACAGATCAGGGACAGTTGTCAGCAAAATTGGACAATTTTAGTGTCAAAAGAACAATTGTGACAGGACTTTGTCCCCCTCCCTCTCCCCATGCGTTGTGCAAAATTGTTTTTTTTGTGTTTCTTTTGTTTTGTTTCTTTGGTATTTTCTGGATTTCCTTGGACGTTCAACCGTTGCAATTTTGCAAGATTGTTTGGAAAGCAAAGTTGCTGACAAAGATTGGGATGAAGGAACACTGCGAAACAAACCTCACACAAGTTGTGAGGGGACACTGGCAAAAAGTTGTGTGTTTGTTTTCACAACATTCAACACACGCCGCTGAGAGCGCTGTATATTAATGTATATACATCTACGGTCTACTCCATTTGAGCCCTCAACTACAGCAGCTTCCCAAGCCTGAAGTCCGCGCCTGGGCTCCAATCAGGCGGTGACTGGTCCCAGTGGAGCTCCTGTGGTGCCAGCTGTGGCGATTCCACGCAGGCACGCTCACGGAGCGGCGGTGCCTGTGCATCCTTCAGCGATTCACAGACCTGCAGCTTGATTCTTTTCTGGCAGGACTCGCAATTTCTATCAGGGGCCTGGGGGGTCACTCATGCCACCATCACACCAGCCCATGATTTGGGTGCATGATCAGGGTTTGGATGGGGTCGTTATTACACCAGCTGCAAGCCAGTGCGAACTCATGTTGGTGGTTGAGAAACGACAGAAGCAATGCGCTGAAACAAGGGGCAGGATTTTGTTAAGCCGTTTGCGGGATCGTCGCCTGTCCCATCTACTCAATCTCAACCATCTCAACCGAGAGACAGACAATGAGTTCATGGCAAAGATCTTGAAATTGTATATGTTGATTTTGCCATATTTTTTTCATTTTGGACATGTCTTTACTTGGAAAATAGTCTTTGTGGCAATGGCAATGGTAACCTCGGTGGTTTCCGGCGGAATTGCCACTGCATCTTCCACGGTCCGCAGCACAGCTGTCCCTAGGCAATCAGGGAGCTTGCCCTGAACCCTGCGGAGACTGGACACAGTGGTCGAGCTGTTCAAGCACATGTGGTACAGGAACTCGAGAAAGGTCAAGAACTGGGCAGTGCTCATCTTCCAACGACGACTCTGATCTCGCAGAGATTGGTCCAAAATGCGTCCGATGGGTTATGGTCCACCATGGTCCTCATGGTTTTCGACGCCGCAAAAGTGTAAAGAGTGATTCCACCCTCCATGTTTCAGAGTCTCATCCCAGGATGAGCCTTTGCCAACTTCCAACTGAATCTCAGTTGTTGCCTCCCTGAGTGAGCCAGTACGCCCTCACCTCAGGACCAAGTGCGAAAGCATGAGAAACCCATTCGAGGCGAAGAGAGGAGGATGAAGACACATCCATGCATCTGAGGCCACCAATCCTTAGATTCCAAAAGCCTTATGAATAAAAGTGCACCCAGGGTGGAGTTGAACTAGGATCATGGCATCCAAATCCCTTTCCGAATCTCCGAGATGCAGATTGGAGATTCGAGGAACAGAGTGAAATACTGTGTATATATTCAGTCAGTATATTTTACACATTTTAATATACTGCATTCGAAGCTCGCAAAACCAAACAGATTCTGAAGAACTAATCACGAAGTAGCACCTGCATTAGACTTTTTATGACTTCTCATAAGTGCCGTGGAGACCTCCGCCGAGGAGTCCGAGTCCTGCACCTTGAGCGCTTGCGACGACGGAGCCTCGACGGCCTCCGTGCCGAACGTGCCCAATTGCGGCACCTGGCAACAGTGGAGCGGCTGCACCGCCAGCTGTGGACCCGCCACCCGGTTGGGGGACGTTTATGGGGTGCAGAGCACCCCGGACATGCAGAGGGGGAGGGAGCAAGCAAGTAAACCCCCCCATCCCACCACCACCGCACCTTCTGTGGCAGGAGAGGGGTGGATATGAGTGGGCAAGGGAAGCCTATAGGTCGGTACTGAGGGAAGCAGAGTGGACGGGTGTGACCGTTTTTGTTGGAGGGGCCTGGGTTCAACTTCATCATGTTGGGTCTCTCAAAATGGCGTCGTGGGTGGTGAGAGTGATTTGTTCTGCAGTTGGAGAGGTTTGTTTTGCAGGACTCTGGGGGTGATGCCTCCTATGGGTTTGATACGGTGACCAGTCATAGGAGTCACAGGAGAACGGAAGGGAGCTTTAGTGAATGAGGTAGAATGAAAGATTTGCAAGTGTTGCTGAAGTGGGAGTTTTGTTCAGTTCCAAAAGTTCATTCAATTAAAATAGTATTCCCGTCTTGGATGAAACTCTTCTGCAATTGTTGTTTTTGTGCTGTGTGTGTGTGTTTGTTTGTTCGTTGAGTGAATATTTAATGCGGCATTCTCCTGAGTTTCCCTTTGCCTCTCTGCCGATGTACAAGTTGTTACAGGATGTTACATTTGTTACGGGAATGCTTGTTTGGTTTCTACTGTATTTGGCAGCCCTGAAAGTGGGACAATATATAAAGATGTGGTAGCAACAAGATGCAAAAAGAGTTGGCATAGATGTTGCAAACGATTCTCGCAAGTTCTTTATGTTTTTCTTTGGAGGTAAGTGGTAAGCTGGTACCCCAAACTCTACCCTCCATCAACATCCATTCATCTGGAAGACCTCTAAGGCCAGTCGCATGCGCTCCCGTGGTGGCGAATGCCAACCCTTCGTCGAGTCGGAGGTTGTCCCGGGGGCAGTGAGTCCAAGGAACGATAAAGAACGTAGTGTTTGATGATGTTTAATTTGTGTTTTACTAATCTGCACGGAACGGAACCCATTGGTATTCAGAAGATGGGTCTGACCCAAGGGGCCCATTCTGAATTCTCTTCCGCAGCTCTTTGCGGAGTCGGTGTTGATGCGGTTCAGCTCCAGCTCCCCACATCCCATGATGAGGGACGCCCAGATTGATTGGTGTCCATATGTGTCCATGAGTCACGGTTCGGCTGGGCCGATCTGATACCTGTGGCCCGTGGCCGCGGCCCGACCACCAAGCCCAACCTGCGGGACCGATCGAAGGGTGACCCACCACCATCCACCACGTCATGTGTGTTTGGTCACGTCCAAGCTCAACCCTGGAGGCGTGCAACCAACCTGGCTGCTCGAGCCCCAGCCCTCCGCCAAGCCCGCCCAGCCCTCCGAGCCCGCCGAGCCCGCCGAGCCCTCCGAGCCCTCCGAGCCCCACCACGAGTGTGTCAACGACGAGCGCTTTGCCCACAACGATGGCTGGGACCACGATGGCTCTTGGGAGACCGGTGACGAATGTGGTGGAAGTACGCCTCAGGCGAGGTGTGTGACAGCAACGGCCGAGATTAACACAAACAACATGACATTGGTGTGGTCATGATGAAGAGAGTGGTCATGAACTGCTGAGCTATGCTAAACTTGTGTCACCATGCGTCACCAATTCGAAAACGAAGACATGGACAGGGTGTTCTCCAGGGTGGGTTCTGAACGTGAAAAAGATAACACGAGTTCTATTCTGGTCATTCCCCCCTAGGAGGATTGAGATCTAAGAGGGCGTAAGATGGCATCAGAGAGTGTGTACTTTAGGGGGATAAGTCTTTCTATTTTACGAGATCTGAGATATTTGTGTTTTTGTTTGCTTGTGTCTTTGGCTTGTGTGGCTTTTGGTTTCTACTTGCTTTGCGGCTTCTGCTTGGTTGAACGCTTCTGTGGCTCTGTGGCTGTGTGGCTTTTGGGCCGTCCTTTGGTTGCGGGTTGGGTTGGTTTTTCACGTCTTGCTTTCGGTAGTTCCCGTGGGTTTCGTTAGGGCCGTTAGGTTTTAGTTGCTTCTGTTGGCTTTCGGTGGCTTCTTAAAAATGTGTGTGTGTGTGTTCTTCTTTTGGAGGAGGCACTGCGCCCTCACCCCCCCCTGCTGCACCACTTCGAGATCCTGCCTGCCACACAATCTGAGAAAAAAGAGTGACATCCTGCTTCCAAACACTTGTTTGCACCACACCCTTCCCTTTGCATTGTGTGAGGCGGAGACACAGCTGGGAACCTCCCTAGACCAAGCAAAATATCATAGTCCTACACAACATTTTTCCTGCTCAAGGCATTTGTCCTTGCCCACTCAAACTGATCCATCCATTGGTCCGTTGGAACATGTTTCTGAAAGTTATAACTATAATCACTAAAGGATATTAATATTTGTAAATGATACTAAATGCTGAATTATATCCAAATTGTAACATCGAACATACCTCTAAAATCCTGTCACATCCTCCTGCCCCCCTGCGCTTCGTCACCTTCTTCTTCCGCCGCTCCCGGCAGAATCGCTGCGGACTTCAGCAACGCGGCGAAGGACATCGACGCCTTTCGCGAGAACTTCCGCAGCGGCGTGGCAGAGGTGGCCGGCATCTCCAAGGAGCGAGTCATGGCGCCCTGGAAAGAAGTTGTAGACGATAGGGGAAAGGGGGATATGGATCCCAGACAGTCCATGGGACTGGCATATTTGCCGATCAGTTGGGGTTGCAGGGGTCAATGTATGCATATATTCCATATATGGAGTGTCTGGGGATGATATAGACCAATGTATGCGCTAGTCTTTTGTTGTGGTGCTTCGCTCCCAAGGAGGCAGGAGCGTGGTTTGGCGTTCTTATGCGTTCTTCCCTGATCAGAGTAGGGATCTATAGACTTTTGAGAAGGGCGATTCTTCGTGCGATGTTGTTGGGTGTGTGTAACTGAGAGCAAGCGAAGCAAAGAAGATGTGTGCAAGTTTCAGCTATGAGTCATCCGGGCGTGGGCGTTCAGAGGATGAAACTGGTGACCATGGAGGTGGTGGAGGTGGTGACTTGGGTGGAGCTATGGTAGAGCCATGGCCCAACCTTCATCCAAAGAAAAATATATAGGCTCTACTTTCTCGACCCTGTTCCTACTTGCTTGGCTGCTTTTTATAGATATACGGCAAAATCACATTGAACAGTTCATCATCAGACTTCGTCAAACGAGTCAATCGTTCCAGTGTTTGCAGTTTGGCTACAGCTTTCCAAAGACTTGCTAGCAATAAATTGAAGATCCGTTCTCCAGCCGGTAGAAGACAAATCCAAGACTTCCCGCTCCTAGGTGCGAGGCATCACCAAGGGATCCATCATTGCAACTTGGAGAGATATGACCAGAGGTCACCTGAAAGTCCATCACAGTCCATCCGATCTTCAAGCCCTGGTAGAATCACTGGAAGTGGGAGTTCATCACTGGTTTGGTACGTTGGCCTATGAGAGTTCGGTCGTGAGACCTCCAAAAACGATCGGCGTTGAGGGGAATTGTGACTGAACGTCCGAACGTTGCATCAGTTATTCCTTTTGGTTTAGCGACAGAAAAAAAAGACGGACTGAACATCCGAACTCACCAAAAGTTCCCGTTGCTGCCTTTGCTTTGCATGGCTGAACACTCGATGTGGACCACTCTCAAATGGTGTCCGGTCGCAGCTGCAGGTTGATTTCATGGTCACGGCTGCAGAGACGATGAGTGACACCTCTGCAGCAGCAGCCATCCAGGCAGGCAAAGAGATGAGAGTGAGAGGAGGTGGACATTTCATCAAAGGGGTGGAGCATGTTTGTATTACTATTATAGTTTTGACTATAATCTTTTTGCAAGAGGTATGCGTCCGAGGTACACGTCCTGGTGTTCTTCAGCTCTTTTGTTGGAGCTTTTTGGACACGTCCGCTCCAAACGCGTCCCACGTCTTCCGCTCCGACAGGAAGTGGAGCGGAAGGTCTCCGAACCCAATGCCTGGCCAAACAGCTTGAGCACGTTGATGGCTCCTTGGCACTTGGCCATCCCGGATGGGCCCCGAAGACAGAGTTTATAAGAGCTTATAGATGATGGCCCCAAACAGCAAAATGGGGGCGTCATATTGACCTTACATCATTGGGTAGTTTCAGGGATCAATATGGATCAATGTAGCACATGTTATAGTTCATACATGGAGTCATGGCGTGTCTAGGGTCTACATTGCGAGGGGACCAAATGAAAAGAACATGAGAGTTGAAGACCACGGGTTCCTATCGATCGCCGTGCGAGTCGACGAGGCGATTTTCACCCTCCCCCAGTCTCGTTCCAGGCAAAGAATCAAAGAAACAATGGAACATGATTTGGTGTTGATTCAGTGAAGAAAAGAAACACATGTTGAACCTCGGAGAAGAGCAGGAAGCTGGATGGCTGTGTGGATCGGTGGACTTGGAGCGAGGCGATTCGTGAACCCTCAGGGATGGCCACCGAAAAGCACAGCAATCACTTCAATATGGGAGAAGAACCCAAGTTGTGGTATGAACTGGTGGTAAAGAACCCACTTCATATCCCACTTCTGGTGGGGGTCGCAGGGCGACCCTGCTTCGGCATTTTCAGACCCTGCTTCGGTCGCCAGAGGCCGCGGGTGCCACCGTGGAGGCCAAGGCCGTGCGTGAGATTCAGAAGGAGTCGTGCACGACGACCGGTGGAACAGAACCGCGAGCTGGGCTGCGTTTCTCGAAACCTGTTCGGGTCAGTGAGGGGGGTGAAAGTGGTGAAGGTAAGTGTTATGGTAAGTTGGGTTCCAGAAATTTGGACCCCTGGCCCAATCCCAGAGATGGGAGTGACATCAGGCCCGTGGTCGTCACGGGATTTGTCATTCTGCACTGGTCCTCCAGCAGTCGCAGAAGATTCTGCGACTCCAGAAGAGCAGCTATGTCACATGTCTCATGCTGGCAGATGACAACTTTACAGGTTTGGTCAAATCCAGGTTGGAGACCATCGCTATTAGGTTGGAGGTCATCGCTAGTAGTAGCAAGGACGCTACTAGTCGAAATACGCTGGTCGTCCAGGACGAGATCCAGGCGATGGCCATCATGTCCAGTGGGGCAGCGACTAGACCGGATGGTCGGGAGAAAGAAGCGATGCAATGGCATGACAGAAGCAGCAGCATCCCGCAACCTCAAAACGGCCAGAGTCTCGATGCTCTTGGGAATATCTTTAAAGGCTCTAAAGCTGGGCTGCGCCCCTTATGAGTATTGATTGCTTGAGGTGGCTTCCTGAAGTTTCCTGTCTTGATGGTTTCCAAGTTTCTCCCAACCGACTCAATCCCGCCGTGCTTGCGCTCGTGCTTGCGCTCGTTGGTGGAGAGTGTTCATTGAAATTCGATCACTGTAGCTGAATTACACTCTGTCCACTGAAACAACTGCATGCAGCAGGTTTGACATAGATGTTCTTATTTCCTGTATCCTCCGAATACCTCGAACATTTGGGGTGCAAGTACCTGTCTTTATAGTATAGGGTCATGGTCTTCTTTTCTAGCTTCTGAAGGGCAAACCTGGGACCCAACAACTTGAGGTTTGCTAGGGATTGGCATTGACATGGAACTGACCTGGTACCGAAAAATCCAGACACCCGGCTTCCTGGAGGCAGGTGCAAGTGAAGTAATCATGGGGCTCCAGGCTCAGGAATAGGGATCTCCGCCCAACCATGCGGATTGGAATGAAGGTGTGTGTTTTCGTGTGGGTATTCGTGATGCTTCCGATCTTTTTTTTAGGGGTCTCCATAGGGGTCCTCAGGTCCGTAAATGTCCATCCACACCGGTCGGGTACCAACCACGAGGTCTTCCTGACGCCGCTCGCGGGCTACGCTCCACCGTTGGGTTGCAGCTGCCGACGGGGCGATGGCGTCACCGCGGGCTGTGCCAATCACAAGAGCTTGTCTCCACCGTGGCTTGGAGTGGAAGGGGGAGAGGACTTAGGGTGACTAGATGTGACTAGTGGGAGAGGAAAGGAAGATATAGCAGTCGTTTTTTCGGGAATTGGATCCGTAGGAACTTGATCAACACGAGGTTCTGTTGAGTCCTCAGAGGTTGTGTCCTGACGATCCTCCCAGTTCTGCTTCACGCGAGGTGGTGCTTGGTGGACTCTGCGTGCCCCCAGAGTCAACAGGCTGGCGATGAGTGAGCGGTATACATGGATGAAAGAGTGACCCCTTTTTAGCTTCACGGCCTGCTTGTTTGTAGAGCTTGTCCCCTAGGTTCTTTCTTCATACACCCAGGTAGCCGCCTTGAGATACCCAGCAGGCCCGTAGTTCAACAAACTGCAGACGTCTATATAGACCGCGGTTGAAGGAACATCACGCTCTCAACTTGCATTGCCTTGTGAGACCCAAGTGTGTGTGGACATGCTCTCCCAGACATATTTGTTTCTCAGATATGGCAAACTTTAAATATAGACCCCCTCTTGAGTTTCCATGTTCTTCAGCCTTCATCAAAGCCAGCTTGATGTACACATTCTCACTTTTCTGCACTAGCAAAGCTGTTGTGATACCTTTATCAAATGTTGTTTGTTGTTTCGGAAAGACCTCGATCCAAGGTACAGTAGCCTTGTTGTGGTGTGTGCGGGCTAGAGTGGCCTAGCCAGTTTCCGTTACAATCACTGCTGGGAGGTATTTGACTCACTGCTGGGGTCGTAAAGCTTCCAGTTACACCAGATTCTTACACCATTCAGCTACCATCATGTGTGATGCAACCATCGTGTGGGCGAACACACAGAGCAACCGATGCAACCATCACCTACCAAACAAAAAGCCCTTCGGTTGCAGGCGTGTCTTTCGAGGGTTTCTCCTGTCCTGCGAGCTGGGCCGTTAATGTTGTTGTTCCGGCCATTTACATTCCCAGACACTCCATGGGACTGCCATATATGCCTACATTGACCCCCCAAACCACCCTATAGACAAATATGGCATACATGGAGTGTCTGGGATTTGTATGAACCGATGTGCCCTTCCGCTGAGTCCATTTCATGCCAGAGCCTCCAATCCACTCTCGCAGGGCGTGCAGGGAACCTGGGCCTGGTGTGAGACCACAGATGGAAACACTAGGGATGCGTCTTGGCCGTCGAGAGGATTCAGAGTTTTTTTTGTTTTTTTCAACTAATAAATCTCAGATGGAATGGACGCACTATGACAGTATGAGCGCCAACCTTGGCATCAAACGACCCCCAAATGCAGTGTCGTGTTTTTGTTTGTGAAAACTGCGTCGTTGGTGGCCAGGTTGGCAGCAAATGTTGCCTTTTGGCAAACACAATCACGCACAAAACATCACACAACATAATATACATATACTGTATATATAATATAACATAATAGGCAAATAGGGCTTTGGTTAAGGGTGGGTTTGCACCCCAAAGCAAGTACTTGCTGAGGGAAACGATTTGGCATGTTGGGGTCGGGGTGAATCGTTTATTTGAACCCTTATGAATGACATCAGTATTGTCCTCAACCAATCTCAGATACGGAAAACATTTGAGTCTTGAACGTAGTCAATTCCACAGCATGAGATGCTGTACTCAAAGTGCGCATGGCCTTAAATAGGCTGCTATATAACGCTAAATAGATAATCATGGGAACGCACTGAACGCACCGGGCTTAAGGCATCTTCTAAGGCTTAAGATCGGTGGGGGTCCCGACCGTTGAGGATCGACCGACCGTGGTGGACTCTGGCCGTGGTTGCCACTCGTGCGGAGTCACTGGGCTTGTTGCAATGACCATTTTTCTTCTCACTCTTGGCTTCACAAGATGAGACATCATTGAAAGCGTGGTCGGATGCGGATTTCGGAAGATTCTGCCCTGAGTAGACTGAGCGTGCCTGAGCATCCAGCGATTCTCATGGTGCAAACTGTGTAGAGACTCGGCGTAGAACCGATCCTGATGGGAGGATGATTCTTCTTAGTACCCTCAGTTCTTCAGAGTGCTGAGTGCCTGTACTGGTTTTAACATGTTTAAAAGCTTGGACTCTTCACGGTGTCAGAGTATTCTCACAGGATCCAAGAGAAATCGAGAGATGCCGAGCGTGACAACCTGCTTGCAAGCACGACTTAGTGCTTGGCCAATGTTTGCAGCTTCGTACAGCGTTTGTACATCTCTGCAAATTTTCAGCGGTGCGGCCGACCTAGTAGGCTTTAACTGCAGTTTGCTGGGCCATTCAGCTCCAGTCCCTCGTGGTGGTAGCTGTAGGCCGGGGCCAGCCTGGCTGCCGAACGGCACCTTGGCTGGTTAGCAAACCTTTAACTTGAGCTTGGGTTTAAAATGCTGTGCACGTCCTCATAACACACCCTTTCGCTGATCGGACATTTTTTAAGGCACAGTTTTGCTTACCTTGTGTCCTTCTCCGCAGATTGCATGGGTGTTTCTTCCAATTTGGAATGATTTGGATCTATTTGGGGTCCCAGTTTTTATGTAAGAATCAAAGGACGAAACCAAATTTAGCCGCAAATTCAGTCACACGACCATCCATCAAACGGGCACGAACACGACAATGCAGTGATTGTCGCGGAGCGGATCTGGGAGCCTGGCACGCTCATGACGAAGTTGCCGAACTACTGAAAGTCCAGCCTAATGGATCTTTCAAAAGCATTCTGGAAAGCGCTTTCAGGTACAACTGGGATTCTAACATACTCTAAGTGTTCATATTGGAGTTGGCAAAAATGAGGGGTTCCTATTTAAGTTACGGGGAGTGGATTCATTCACCACTACTGGAGTCATGTGAAAATAGATGAAGATAGATCTAAAACAAAAGCATCTTCCAGGGCGCCTGTCCCTGTCTTTCAAGACCACAAGCGAGCTGTTTTGTGTGTGTTTTTCTTTTTCAGAGTGTCTATCTACCCTTCTGAACCTTCAAAGTATGTTTTTGGACGTGCAGATTCTTGAATAGATTGCCAGCTAGCAGCTAGCCTCATTGAAGGATACATGATATACAGACAGAGCCATCCTGTGGAGGAGTCCTGAACCCTCAGATAGAGGAGAACATATGTAGAAATATTAATATATGTGTTGGCGGTGTTCGTCTCCGAAGAAATTGGGAGCTCCAGTTCCAGGTTCGAAAAAGTGCCCCAACTGACCTAGCTGGGGTTTGTTCCAGCTTCCAGGCTATGCGGCGACAAAGGTCTGAAGCCAGAGAAAGGCCTGGACATGTTTGATGAGTGAAGCTGGAGAGTCGTGGATGCGGGATGATGTGGGGATCACAGATTCAGCACGTTTGTTGCCTTGGGGCTTCTGGATTTCAATGCGCAGATGTTTGGCTTCTGTTCACCACCAACGATAGATCTTCCCTATCACTGGAATGGACTTTCTATGATTTTCTAGAGGGATAAACTGGGTAAACAATTTAGCAAGTTTGACACATGAGCCTGGATGTGTGCCACCTCTTTGTGGTGCTGGCAGGTGGACAACTGGCTAAATGCATCTCTTGGCCAAATAGGCTATAAAGTTCTGATTTGTGTGTATTCTTATTACTGTAAGTAGTGTGTTACATGTACAGAGTGTCCGTTTGCCAAAACTTTCGGGACATGAATAATCATTAGTAACTTAGTTGCAACATGCATGAATATAATTTAACAAGTTGTATGATAATCATTGAGCAAGTTCTGTTGAGTGGTTCGGGAACTGCATCTGAGTGGTCCGTTTGATGATTTCGTTGCAAATCCAATTTCTGGATTCGTCCCCCGAAGCACGAGGGGTTCAGGATGGTTCAGGAGGCAATGCTTGAAGTTTTAAGGTTGTCTCCCAAGCAGAGGTGCTGCCATGTGTTTTTGGTTTGCCAGAATTGATCGAAGATTGCAGTATACAATGAAGACACAGAAGTTTAGCTTAAAATATCAAGAATCCAAAGCAAATGCTTCAGATGTCCAGTTCAGATATTATGTGCAACCTGTTATCAATGCCAGACCAACGACTAGCAGGTCAAAAATGTGAGCAGCTTGTGCAGCTCCGTGTTTGCATTGGATGATCAGCCTGGATAAGTTGCTGTTTGCTGGGGGTTAACGGTGACATCCACATGGGGCCGTGGATCATGTGGTTCTCGATGCGGATTACGCCAGACCAGTCACGCAGGAGGGCGTCTAGGTGCCTGAAGGAAATCTGAGCAATCGGAAAACCACTGAAATCAAACCAAGACTATAGCTATATATATCCCAGACATTCCATGTATGCCATATATATATATATATGCCTACATTGACCCCTGAAACCACCCCAATGTAGGCATATATGGCAGTCCCATGGAGCGTCTGGGTAGTGATATCAAGTAACAAAGGTGACGACTTGTAGCACAGGTCGCGCAGTGCTTCCAGTCGGTCGTGCAGCATGGTCATAAATGATATATATATATATACATACTCTCCTGGCCAATGGCCGCATAAGGGTCGGCGGAAACTTCATTTGTTGTGTTCGCATGCCACGTACCCTGGGCCGAAGGCAAGAGCGAATGGTCGACGCTGCTTTCCTCAAATCTGAGCAGGCGGAATCCGCCTGGCGGATCAACATGGTGTTCACAAGTGATGTTAGGCACTAAACGGCTTCTCCACACGCTCCACATCTCCTCAGACCTGACAAACGTGTCCGACACCCACTGTTTTGGCTTTGCCATGCCATGAGGGTCAGTTCTGGCATTTTCTTTGCTCAGGTGACAGAAGCACGGGTCCACTGCGACAGGTTATGGGTCAAGAATGGTCAAGACATGTCAAGACCCTCCTTCCATATAGGTTGTCAACTCCAAGCAGTTTTTTTTTCACCCGGCTGTACCCACAGGACCAATGGGATCCCGCCAGGAGAAGGAGAACCGAAAGCAGTTGGAGGATTTTCAGGAGTTCGGAGCTCAGTTTGGAGACGTTCGGAGCCAGGTCAGTGGGTTGATCTTTTGGTGGACCAGTTCTCCTGGAAGAGGGATCGGCGCGCCAATCGATTGGCCTTTGGAACCGTCCGCTGGGATTGGCTGTGTGGGATCAAAAAAGAGACGAATTGCAAAAAGAGACGAAAAGAGACCCCACTCCCAGGAATAAACTGCATGCGAGTAGTTCCAAGATACGACACTCAGCCAGCTTGGAATTTGATAGAATTTGGATCAACATGCCACCACTTTGTTGGTCTACTTGCCAACACTACCTCAAACGGTTAGGTGTTTTATACACCTCACAACTCGCTGCCGTCGTGCCAGTCGTCGGTGGTTTTTTTTCCCGGATCAAATCAGGCACAAGAAAGACAGCACAAGAAAGATGTGAGAAGCTGCATGCTTGAATTCAAGTTGCGGGGTCTCCCTATTCCAATGTACCCCCATATCATGCATTCATCCCGTTCCACAATTTCCAGCTTGAATGCATGCCATCCTTTGCCGCTCAGGCGCGTGGCAAATCAGTTGGCCAAGAAAAAATCCCAGGAGGTGCCTTGTTGGCGTCGCTCTTGCTTCTTTTCAGTTGGTTTGAAAACCAAGCTGCGCCGCCAAGGGTTGCTTCTCGTTACCCCACAACAACATACAACAACAGATTTAAGAAGCAAACGTAAGCAAATATAATGCATCCAAATATATGAATGAAATCAACATGTAGTGGAGATCATTCCTATAGGCCTGGCCAAGCAGCTGAGTCCGATTCCACATCACCTAGGACTCAGCCCAAACTCACCTTGTGAGATTATTCCGCACAAGCCCTGCACCAAGAGACCTTTCAAAGCTCTACGGACTCTGCAAGTAGTATACATGTTTGAGAAAACTTTGACCTAAAAGTTAGGTCATGTTAGGTCACTTCAGAGAAGGACCACACTTGTATAGAATGGAAACCAATCGGGTGATTTGGAAGGATCGCTCAGTTCAATCCATCCTTCTCACGACTGACCTGCGATCGAGGCCACTTTTCACTGACACCAGTCATTGTTGGTGTAGTCGTTACGCAACATGGATCAACCAAACACTTTGTCGGTCCTGTCCAACCTACACACTTCAGTTCACAACATGGATCCACACCCTCAATCTGGAAGGTCCTCTTCTGCCCCTGCCCTGCTTTTGACAGCTTTCCACGTCTCCTTTCATCGGATGTTCCCCCTTTTTTGAGGGTCGTCTCCTCGTCTCCTCTCTTCGTCTCCTCGTCAGGCGAGACAAGAAGCCGTCCGCCGGCGAGTGGTGGATGGCTCCCAGGAGCTGCGCGTGCTCAAGGAGCCGTCGGACGGCGCGGTCGAGACGGCGCGTCCAGACCGGGAGATAGCGCGTCCGACCGGGCGTTCAGCTTATTGGGGGGCCGGTGGATGTGTTTCTTTGGCTGAACTTGAAAGAACGAGTTGGTGACCGGTGACACCACTTAGTTGAGGATAGTGCTTCACAAGACTTGTTGACATGCAATGTCCTAACGATGTAGTCTAGTTGCTGTATAGATATGTTTGCAGAACTTGGTCCTTTCGCCTTTCGCTCAGTGTATCTAGGTGGCATTGGGTGTCCTGGCCATGATATTCAATGATCTTGCTCTGGGACTGGCACGGGACAGGCACACCATCCTTGATAAGAATGCTTGGTGTATTGAGCCAAAAAGAAAGCCCCAAGTCAGAACCTCCAAGTCTTTTGATGGGTTTTGGAGTCCTGGATGAAACTTAGTGGCCCTGTAGGATTTGTGGATGTGTCACTACTGTATTATACTGTATTGTTTCATTCCATGAGCCAACCTGTATGAGCGGTGCTTAAATAACCCCTTTGTTGAATCATGTTGAATCCTTTTGAGACAATTCATGCCTTTTCATGTGTGGCCGCACGAACAGTTCAATCTTTGGAGCCGTGGCCATTTGGCAAGCGTTTGGAACTGCCAGCTCCTGGCAAACTTGGACACTTGCTATTACAGGGATGGTTCAGGGTAGATCATGGTCAAGGACGGTCAAACCCAGGACCCTCCACCTGCAAAACAATGAACATG